CTGTGTTCAAGAAAAAAGTAAGCCAAACATTACATAATACCCACTGAAAATTGAAACATTATTTTTTGAAAATCATATGAATGATTTTAGAAATCTGGAATACAAAAGGTACGGTTTTAGATCATTCTTAAATTATTAGAATAAATAATTTTTAATTTATTGAGATTTTATATTTAAATATTACTACATTTACACTATTATAAGTACTCAACACTATTTAAATAATGATATTTGCACTTTGGAAAAGGGAAATAATACAATGAATAATTATGATAGATTGAGACTGTAGAATTATACCGGATGAGAGATTATCAATATTATGAAGAGCTAAAGTATTAATTAACACAGTTCTACTTTTAGAGAGTAAAGAACAGTTTAAGAGATAAAAAATAACCATGAGTTATCAATAAATTGTGACCAAATCTAAAATGACAAAATTCAATTATAAAATTTCTATTAAAATTTAAGTTGAAAAACCGGGAAGGAAGGGATATATAGTGAAACAAATTTTTCTGTACGGCTAAGGTTAAGCAGACCATTTAAATTATCAAATACTTAGAATAAGTTTTGGGAAATAGCAGAGAAAGTCTTTAAACGGAATAAAATTAATTGATAGTTGTAAAAATTTAAAACAGGAATTAGGAAGGAGGTTTATCATTTTATTTCCCAAAATATCTACACAACTAAGAATGTAGTGGAAAAGATCCGAGTTTCCGAGTAAATTGATAGAAGAGATTAGAGATTTGATTTTATAAATAATAGTAAAAAATTTCAGTGAGAAACGACTTACTGAAAAATGTTTACTAAAAAACAAACTTTTAGAACAAAAAAAAATAATATATTAACTCACATAAAGTTCAAGCTTATTAACTCATAGAGAAACTAAATGAGATTTTACATCCATGTGAATAAAAAAATGTACAAATAAATATATGAATATAAATAATTTTCTGTAAAGTAAATAAAAAGTATATATTTCGTTCGAATATTAAAAAAAATTGGTTTATTAAAATTAAAAAATTTAATAATGTTGAAGATTTCATTTGGATACTAAAAAATAAATATTCAAATTATTAAAATTATAAAAATCATCAAAAGTATATAGAACTATCAAAAAATTAACGAAAATACTACTTAAATTACTTAAAAATACAATTATGCACTTATTCAAAAAATCATTATATATATCGACTCAATTCTTTATTAATCTGATTTTGTACTTAACGAGCTATGCACTAAAATAATGAGAAAAAAGATACACATTTTTAGCTCTACTAATTATAAATACTTAAGACAAAATAACATACAGTGTACTCTTATTAGATGTCAAAACTTTTTATTGTATATATCTAAATGTGTTTTTTTAATAAACAACCCTCTTTTACTCAGAGCACTATGTAGTTAAGCAATGTACATTTTTCTTCCTAACTTCATTTTTACTGTCAATGCGTTTTTAGATTATTTTCATTTATTAACAGACAATTTAAGTTTTAATTAATTTAAGTTAAATTATTAATTTTTAAATTACATTAATAATTTCTGGCTGTTAGTATTTATTTTTTTTATACTAAAATTATTTCAATCATTTTTCCAATGCGATGAAGTTTTTTTAATAATTTCGAACATCAATAAAAATTAGCAGAGAGTATTATTATGCAAATAAAATGTAAGATTGCGTCAAAAAACGGTAAAGGTGGCCATAAAACTGGTTTTAAAAACTATCATAACAGCAGTTTATTTATAATGTGCAACGGGCTATTGACCTTCATTGAAACAAACTTAATAAGGTTTGAACTAAAAGTTTCTGTTTAAACCTACCATTAATTTCAGAAAATTTTTTTTAATTGCAAAGTCTTTTCTTGTACAATATTTTTATTCTGTATATCGATACAAAATAAATAAAACCAATTTTACTCCAACTGCAATTGAACTTGAAAAATAACATGTTTATTTGAATTACAAGTATTCTTTAGCAAAACATAATAAAATTTTTGAGATAAGTGACAACACACAATTGAGAATCGATTTTATTTATCGTTTTGAATCGTTTAAATAACATTTATGGAAACAGCCGTTTTCCGATATTAAATAATATTTTTTTGACTTACAACAATATTAGAGTAATATGAAGTTATATTTGTTCAGTTTTTTAAACATGTCTTATAATTTATAAGAGATGATTAATATTTTAATATTAGTTTTTATCCCTTAAAATAATAATTTTTTAACAAAAACAAAAAAAAATACAAACATTTTATTTGTTTATTGTACACGCGAATTACTTACATTTTCTAAAATTGGGATCGGAAATTTGAATAATATACACAAACGCACTACGCATAGAAAGTATATTTAAAATATTTCTAAGGCGTATTAACCTTGCCGTTTTTACATAAAAATATCTTTAAAAAACTCCTCAATCCACGAGTTTAAATAAATTGTTGAACATTCTGTTGTCGTTAAGAATCGACTCATTACTTGCGAATAAATACATATTTTTGTTATATTTAACATTCAAAACAACGGAGGAATTTATTATTAACTTAAATGGTAACGTAGTGAATTAAAAGAAGTTGACTTTGGGTTGAGAGTTTTACTTTGAAATTATAAGAGTTTATCGAAGAGATTTCTAGTCGGATTAAAAAAACATCCTAGCATAATGATAAAGAACTGCCGCGTGTCTTCCTCTGTCAATGCTATGTTTTGAAATTTGCAATCATTTAATACAGCTATAATACTGATGATATTTGTATAACGATATATATATTACAACATTATCTATTGTGAGTGTCATGATGATATGGTAAGCACAGTTAACGGATTAAAAGCTGCTTTGACTATATGGAAAAACAGAGATAGAGTACCGCGTTTTATAAGAAATAATCGATTGGTAGACAAACTATTGATATTTTTATATTGTTTTTTTCTTGTTGAATCTAAACGTGTTCATTGTGTATACTTATGTGCTCATCCAGTATACAACATATTGTGCCTTATTGTTTATTCAAATAACAAATGTACCTATCACAGCTTTTTGATAATGTAACGCGCTGTTATGTAGTCATTTTGTACATTCTCTCTGCACACCTCAACTTATATTTGTTTAATATGTGAAGATCCTCGTTGGAGATTTACATTAATTGTATTTATGTTTAACTAGATAATTTTTATTTTAAACAACTTCAGTTTTATTTTAGAACTCAAGGCTAGATTTCAAACCAAAATAGATTTAACGGTCATAATTTTATTTAAAATCATTAACCGAACATTAAAAATAACTATTGTAATGTCTTGTTTGTAACGTCTTGTATGCACATAAAACTGTTTAAACTCAAAATAACTTCATCTGTTTTGAAACAATTATTATTTACCACGATCAACACTTGTACATATTACAAATAAATTATTTTAATGACATAAATTAATAATCCACAATTTTTTGCAAAATGTCCTATGAGTAAATTTACAGAAAAATAGTTACAATTTATAAAACACTTAAAAAAAGAATGTTGTTTTAATTTATTATAGTAGAAGACGCAATTTATTTTTCTGACCTCTTTTTACAATGAAATTATGCAAAGTGTTTGCTTTATGCTCGTCGAACTCATTTTAAATGTTGTCGAAAAGACTTCACGATGGACATTGAGAGTTGTACATCGCATCTATGTTTATTATGCTTGTACAATTATCCCAGTGCATTGTTTATATTATAATATAAAATACATATTGTTTAAACACAATCCTGTAAAATATAGTCTTGTATCTTTAAAAAACAACAGTATTGTTCGTTTTTTTTTTTTTTTTTTACACTTTTGCTGTGGCACACAAAATCCTCAGTCGCGCGAGTCAATTGCAAACGAGCCATTTGATAATGAAACACATGTATTACAATAATATGATACAAAACATATATACATAGATGACTTGTATAATATTATTACGAATAACATATTATTAACGACGAGTGTATACGTCAGCATTCGAAATTCCAGAGGATCAACAAATTGTTGACTCTCATATAGGTGTCGAAAACATATACTCATAGGTGTTTTAGGCAGTGTTATTTACAAAAGGAAGAATTTCAAAATATACTTCAAAACGATGCGTACACTTAAGTTTGTAGGGTAAACTTACAAGACCTCGTTTGTTGTACTATATTTAGCACATACAAAAATGCTCACAAACATATTTTTTACTTGGTAACATATTTCACCACTATTGTACGCTTTATTTCACTAATGCTGGTTTGAAAAACATTCGACTTTGGCACTTATTAAAATAGCTAATCGTGAACTTTATATTGCATTACAAATGAAAACTTTGTGGTTCAAAGAGTTGAATTTTATTGGGAATATCTGCCCTTACAGTCGCTATACTTGCGCTTGTGTAACGCCCAGAGAATAAACGAAAAAACATCAATTCGTGTTTACTGTATGATGTTCTAAAATAATAGATTCACCGGATTGAGACTGGTGTTTAATTCTTTTTCAGCTATACTCGGTTGTGGTGCCGACAACTTGTATAAAAAAAACCGAATGCCATTCATCATATTAACAACGCATTAATAATACCTCGTTTTCACAATGACCCGGGTTAACAAATAAACAATAACCGCTTTGTTTGGTTAAAAATTAACATATTATTGCTGTTGCTCGGTATTTCGTAAGTGTTTCGAGCGAAACTATTCTATTTTACGAATAGTCCGATGGACTTGTGTCGTAGGTGGAAGCGAATATTTTCGGGAAGTGGGGGCGTTCGGGCGACCCGAGGAGGATACCGGCGGAAGGGGTTCGCTAAACGTTATCTTTAGGTACCAATAATATTACACACAATTATATATATTGTGATTGTAGTGATCATATTATTGTTATGACAATATATATATATATATATATATTGTAACACCGGAGTGTGAATGGAGGCCAAGAGAGGGGGCAAACCCCACTACGTCTCGTGTGACCGCCGTTACCATAATAATAATAACCGACGGACGACGGGCCATGCCGTTCCGTGTACGCAACAACTGCAACAGTCGGCCGTCGCATACGTCGAGAAGAAGTATACGTGACTTGTGCGCACTCTCTGTCGTCGGCAGTTAATATATTTTCTTAACTTAAATTCACAACCGGTTCGCCAGTGAAACCAAACAGAAGTTGTGTCTGAAATTTTAGTCGACTAAAAAGTACATCTCCCACATAAGCTGTACATTAGAATTTTATTTATACATTTTTTTTTTGTGTGCGATTTTTCGGTTTTAAGTGAATTTGGATTAGTATCAAACATTGACATTTCGATAATTATTATTTTTGTGTTCAACCACACGATGCACGGATAATCTTTAAGATTTGTAGCGATCATTTATTGGCGTCAACACCGTTAATATAATGTGAGTAGAACAATTAACAACTAGTAAAAAAAAGTTTCGTTCTTTGCAAAAAATATCCTATTTGTTTAATGTTCCTCCGGACTAGCATTAAAATCTCCGGAATTTGAGGTGTCAGTAAATATGTAACAACACGACCCTTGCACCATAGTATTGACGCCTCTTATTTCCCTTTTCGACAATATCAGTGATGAATATTTCATTTTTTTTTCCGGCAAATTTTTATTTGTTTTTTTAACAATCGTTCACCACGAGTGTTTTGCAATGTAATTACTTATTGTTTTAACGTACTGGGAATTTAGCGGCACAAACTGATGGGTTCATCGGCCCGCGAATGGTACTAATTATTGTATCATGGTTCAAGGTTGTTGCGGAACGCTCTTCTGCGACTACCCTTCATAAGGAAATATTATACATATATATTAATAGAAAAATTGGCCGTTTTTTGTGTTTAAATGCGTTTTAAGCACACACAATACAGATGTTTTGTCTTTTAGCAATTTTAAATTTCATTTCGTTTTCTGCTAGAGTTAAATGAATAATTAATTAAATATTTTTCTGGCGAGACAAAATTGGGTTCTCTTTAAAATCCGTTCTTACATAAGCATTATTCGTACCAAGACGTTCTGATTTTTTTTTTTTTTTAACAAAATCAACACTATCGTTTCGCATCTAGCGGTTCTTCGACGACGACGACGACGATGGATTTTTTTCATATTAACGGTATTTCTTTGTCGCAATAAAATACAATACGGTTTGTCGCCGTGTCGACTGGATTAAGTTCGAAATCCAAGACACTCGCTTTTTACGGCTGTTGCAAATCGTTGTGACATTAAAATTTTTAACAAATGCAATAATTGCCAATAATAGTTTAACAGCCGTGAAGAACCCATTTGTTTCTATTGTCGAAGCGCATTTCCTCCGAATACTCATACATGGATACTTACGCAATCGTAAACGTAGTGTAATAACTATACTATTGCCCACTGAAATTCCACTAGGTAATCATTGCACGCGCAAACGTCAACAGCCTGTCGGCAGATTTCACTCCAAGGTTACCCAAAGCAAATGTTCAGATCATGTTGTGGTGTTTAAAAGTACTTCTAGGAAAACAAATCACATTTTTTTTTTGTGTTTTTGTGAAGTTTCTGAAAATTGACACTCTTGAATTCTGCAAATATCTCTAATGGGTCTTTTTGTTATTTTGCATAAGTCGAAGATTGAGATGCGAAATTAATTGATATCTATTAAGGGGGACAATGCCCTCCTGAGCTTGGGATTAACCAAGACAACCGGTTGGCCGACAAGTGTTTAAGTTGTGCGGTAGAGGCTCTATATGGGCGATCTCGTTTGATCTAACCATTCGCACAAGATAATAATTATAATAGAATAAACAATTATTGACGTAATCACTGTGGTCGCAACTAGATATTTCACTGGGTTAACATTTTTAACAAATTTCTATTGTCAAATGGATTAAACTGGTTTTAAATGAGAGATGACCAACAATTTTTATATTATACGAATAGCCTTGGATCTATTTAAAGACTCCTTATATTGAAATTAAGTGGTTCTAAAATACGCCTTAAGATGGCATTTTACACGGTCTTTTGTAAGCCGTTATTTGTTTATTAAGTTTTGTTGAATACTATAATTTGATATTTTCCAAATCTCGGCTTTTTATGATGTTATTACATAAAATTACTTAAAAACTGACATACATTATGCCATTAGAAGTTTTTAATACCTGTTGCACTGAACGAAAATCAAAATATAATAGCTTGAAGAAAGGTTTGTAGTACGACCATGAATGAGGTCAGTTGCGCAGTTGGTTGAATTTTTTTCATCTATACTTTTTCTACTGTCCATTTTTACTATTTTTTTATTCGAAATTAATTTTTCTGTTAAATAATTTTGCATTGTGTGTGTGTTTCCGTAAACGTTTATATACATAGTTGATCGCATTAACACGTATATTTTAATTATTTAAATAAATAACCTTAATCAAGCGTGACCAAAGTGGTAGCCAAAAAGGAAGAATGCCAAAGGCTGAGCTAAAAAAATTTAACAATATTGTACACATTCTGAAATTGCACTGAAAATCACTGCGGCCGTCTCTTGTTATATAACCATTATGACGATGGTCATTATTTATTACACGAACGTTATGCAAAAAAAAAACAACAAGGAAAAAATACTTTGTGTAAACTTCACCTTGAGGGTGAAGGCCAAATCGAGATGCATACAAGATCCCACACACACAAACCATAACTATGTTGTAATACGTTATCATTGCTGAAAAACACGCGTGCGAACACAAACAAACATCCAATGTACACCCGCTTAATCGAACTCGGATGATCACTCTCATCAAATACTATAATTGTGATGGGTAAATGTGGTTTTTTTCAAACTAATGCGTAACATATCCAAGGCTTAATCTTCAAACAGTTTGTTTCTGAACAAAACTACTTTTAGGAATGAATACTAATAACAATTAACCAAAATGGCTCATAGTGTAGTTTAAATCGTTTTTAGTTCGAATAAAGTTTCTAAACTTTAAAGCTTGTAATATTGTGAGAGTATTTAGTTTAAGTTATCTGGAAAATGCGTGAGTGTGATCACGTTTTGTTCGGACGATCATGAAATAATAATAACTATTATTTATGATTACGCATTGAACTACTGTTAATAGCCATAGTGTACTTATACGAAACCATGTCAGTATGTTGTATGTTTCAGTGTATACGTATTTAATAATAATAATAATAATGTTCGACGAACTAACTTCGAAAAACAGCAATAAGAGATAACAACCGGTAACTGATATGATTATACGCAACCAGTGCTATTAAGATGTGCACGAGTGTCTTATGATGAACTTAACAAGTAGCTTTTAATTTCCATCGAAGGTCATTTGATACCAATTGTCCCACCTCATTTATTTGTCTCTAGTTTCACTTGTAGTTATTCTATTAATCGATTTCTACATAAGGTTGTATTTATTATAAAAGTATTTATATTCTTTTTTTTAAAGTTTCTTTAGAAATATGTGTTCTTATTATTCGGTCAGCGATACCGAAACTAATAATCGGTTAGATCATTGAAACATATTTGGTTTACAGCATTGTCTAACATATTCTTGGAAATATGTTGTAGATTGTTATTATTGATGTTGTTGATAGATTTCATGATTATTCCCTTAAAATTTAATAATTACAATATTTAACTAGTGTACTCTTTTTTTGTAGAAGAAAAAATGGTAGCCGACACTAGTAGTTATCACCACCAAAAGCAACAGCAACTTCAACAGCAACAACAAAAACACCATCAATTAGGTCACCATCAACAACAAAACAACATGCAATATTGCAGTGACATGGAACAATCAGGCGGACCAGGCAGTGTGCGTTATGACTCTGTCTCTCCTGGACCTGAATCACCTGGTGGAGAATCTTATCCTCCTGGTTACGATCTTGCGTCCCATTTACAGCGCAAAGAGTTTTTCGCTCAACGCAAACAACGAGAATTCATTCCAGACAATAAAAAAGATGAAAGTTACTGGGATAGGAGACGACGAAATAATGAAGCTGCAAAGAGATCTAGAGAAAAGAGGAGGTTTAACGATATGATTCTTGAACAGCGAGTAGTGGAACTAAGCAAAGAAAATCATGTTCTTAAGGCGCAATTGACTGCTATCAAAGATAAGTTTGGCATTAGCGGAGAAGCTGTTGTTAGTGTTGAACAAGTAAGTCTAACTATACTACGGATGATATTTCAAATTATATATTAAAATCAAATCATATACTAATCATTTTTTCTTTTGTATAGGTAATGGCTTCATTACCCACCAATGAACAGGTGTTAAGCATCACCAAACGTCCAAAATTATCTTCATCATATCCACAGAACCCTATCCCAACTTCAGTTATCCATCAACCAGTTCAATCGACTACACCAAAGTTAAATGGAAACGGTACTATGAGTTATTACGGTCAGTCCGACTGTGTGTTGGATCAACAGGATCGATCCAATGGCAGTAGTAATGGTAGTCTAAGTGGTAGTATGGTACCAGCAGTGACATCCGCCGCAGTGGCAGTTGCAGCAGCAGCTGGTTACTCACCATACACATTTACACCAGTTTTGCCACCACTTCAGCCACCATCTTTTGAGTCAGCAGCAAATAGCGTTCTTAACCTAAGCCGACGACCACCTTCTCCGTATGAATTGAGTAGTGGAAGCGGTGATGATACATCATCTTGTGTGCCCATTTCACTAGCTTTTGTAGCTGCTGCCGCAGCTGCAGCTGGATCTGGTCATCATAATAATAACAATAATTGTTTGCCTCATAAATTACGACATAAGTCACATCTTGGGGATAAGGATGTAGCAGCTACTGCTCTTCTGTCGTTGCAAGCTATAAAGCAAGAACCAGGAAACAGCCGAGCTAGCCCGCCCTGGGATGCCGAAGGTAGTAGCGATGAGCGTGACTCAGGAATCAGTTTGGGTGCTGAATGGGGCGTGAGACCGGCCGCAGGTTGTCCCACATCAGCAGCACCTAGAGCTGTTGCTATGCAGTCACCTCCAACGTCTGCCGCTACCGCCGCTATCGGTTCAATTGTAGCTGGTGAACCAGCAGACACTGTCGCTGCAGCTGTTGCTGCAGCTGCTGCCGCTGGAGCTGATGATACCAGACTTAAATCAGAAGTAGCCCGTTTAGCGTCTGAAGTTGCCAATCTTAAAAGTATCCTTTCCCGGAAGGCCAACACCGGATCGGCGAGTCAACAGCAACAACAACAATCCACCGTTGCTGTTAATTGATAATTTTGAAAGTAGTTCAAAAATACTTCACCCGAGTAAATCTGATGTGTTTCAATACAAATAATGTACTATAAATCCATCAAATGGTATTGATAGTGCCTAGTTTTAGTTTGAGTTTATTTTTAATATTTATTTTAGTATGTGACGCAATTTTATTGTAGATAGAAAAGTGAAAATGTGAAATAAAAAAATGTTATAGTATTGCCCACCGAAATTAATTAATGAAATTACTTAATTTATAACGTAATCATTCGTCAAATAGCCATATACCTAGACTATGCGAGAGTAGTGGTAATAACTTGTGTCCACCAAGGTGATAACCTTGGTTTTTTATCGTGTATTTCGGCTTAGGAAAGAAAGACAAAAGATAGATCGAAAAAAGTCGAAAAAATAAAAACATTGGAACGGACAGGATAATAGACGTTACCTTAAGCTACAAAAAAAAAAAAAAAATGTTAAAAAAAACAACATAAGATCTGTGATGTAAAATTTAATATTGTTATACGAACATTTTCGAACAATATAAAAGCCTATTAGAAAACTTATATAATACCCGTAAAACTTGTATACATAATCGTATTTTTGCTATAATAAAAAAAATTGTAATAATATAATGAACTGTGCATATATGTACTTAGCACTAATATCTAATGCTATGATAGTTGTTGTTTTTACGTCTTTAAAAATCATTATTCTTATCTAGAAACATATTAAAATAGTACGACGATTGTAGTTCGAAAAAAATTTAAATAATATTAAAAAAAAGTCTGTGATAAACGTTCTTATTACCCTTGTTCTGTTAGTGTTTTATTTTTTTTACTTTGTTAAAACTTAATTGATTTTTATGTTAAATATTTTTAAGTATACATTATTTTGTAACGATTATATAATACATTTATAAAAAAGTATATAATATATACTTAGTGTACATATTTTTATTATGGTTATAATTATTTTAAATTATATATAGTATATATAAATATATATATATATATATATATATATTTACGTAAGTTATGCATATTGTCAAACATATGATATTTATTTAATTTATTAATTGCTTATTATGTAAGTATTGTAGTTATACAGTACTAATTTTTCTTACTATTATTAATAATATTCTTATCAAAGATGTTTAATCTAAATATAATATTATTAAATTATTGTACTGTAGAGTGTTTATATTTAAACGGCTTAGATTGTTATTGTTTTGTACTATAAATATATTCAAATATATTTATTTTTAAAATATACGTAATGTAAGTTTTTATTACTAAGTATAAAATTTCAAATATATTTTTAACGATAATTAACTCAAAATAAAGCGAATTTTAATAACTACCAAATAAAATTGATGAGGGTCGACAAGTACTTAGTTACCATGAAATATCAACTATTACAATAATAGTGATCATTTCAAATCTGATTTTTAGTGACCTTAACTGTCGCATAGTAATTTATTATGGACAATACTTCCAAATAAAGTCAACTATTATCTTAATATTACTAACTTCTTTGGCTATGGCATAGCAATCATTTCCTAAATATTATGTTATTAATATTAAACATTAATATATTTGAAAATTTTTTGGAAAATTTGAAATCAACTATTTATACCAGATAATAATAAAATAAGTTATACTAACGTATAAACGAATTAAAAGTGTATAATTTTAAAAGAAGTATCCAATGGATCAATCGGTGTATTGCTTTAGACGGTTTCATTAATTCATTAATAAATTGTTAGTAATATTTTTATATTGATTAAGAACAGGTTAATCTCTGCATTGCTTTTGGTAGGTTGTTTGGAAACATAAAAAGACATTAAGGATGGCTCAATATATTTTCCCGCCCTTTCATATATTTTATGACATTTCTTTTTTTTGTCACTAGTTTGCATTTTAAATAAAAAGTTCAAAAATTAAAATTTTCTACTCTAAGTACAGTAGTACTTAATGCTCACCTGTTGGTTAACTGACTTTGAAATAAATAGTTGGCAATAAAAAATAAAGCTTAGCATTTATAACATTATAACATTAAAATAAAAATTATTTTCAATTCATAATTTTGTATGAAATTTCTAGAAGAGTCGTATTTAATTTTTAAAATAAGACAAAAGTTAAAATATAATGCATAATGGTCAATTTNAGGAATTCGGATAATTGGAGTTCTACTGTAGTTTTAATGCTCACCTGTTGGTTAACTGACTTTGAAATAAATAGTTGGCAATAAAAAATAAAGCTTAGCATTTATAACATTAAAATAAAAATTATTTTCAATTCATAATTTTGTATGAAATTTCTAGAAGAGTCGTATTTAATTTTTAAAATAAGACAAAAGTTAAAATATAATGCATAATGGTCAATTTGTGACCTGTTTAAAAAATTTACAATCCAGTGTGACCACGAAGTAAATCAATTCATCAACTAAGTATGAAGCCGGATATAAATATTTTCATTCATGCAATTGTTCATATTACTTCAATGTAACCATTCATTAAAATTCATGAATACAATTAATCGATAGCTATTTGTTACAAAAACAATGCAATAACATTACAATAGTGCTAATGCAAATTATATAATCGGAATCTATAAAAGAAGAAGGGCCTGATTAATAAACTGTATGTTGACAATAACAGATACATTATGAACCTATAAAATAAAATTAATTAATACACAAAATAAACAATTAGGTGAGCAGGAATCTGAACATTTTTTTTAAAAATAATTAAAAATGATTATAATAATACAACTCAATAATTGTTAAAAAAAATCTGTGTTTAAAAGTAGTACAACTTAAAAAAAACGATAATGATGTATTTTTTTTATGCATAACCTTGATAAAAATTGAACTAATTTTATCAGTCACTAAAAATACATTTATTTCAAAAGGTGTGAGAAAAGAAGTTAATTGATTACATAAGTCATAATTACACAAATGAGTTATTCAACAAACCTGATTTACAAAATTGTAAAATATAATAATAATAAGTTCAAAAGAATAGTGTCATCTTTTGAGAATATTATACAGAATATTTCTGAGAATATTCTTGAAGAAGATTTTTTTATGGTAATTTTACATCAGTAACCTCTAACACAGCCGTCCTGCAATCAAATTTTCGGTAATAAGTACGATATCATCGGCTCACTGTTCTATACTACAGTAAAAAAGTGGCTCAGCAGTAACTTTATTTATATCTCATAAATTTCGTGGTCTTTTATTTACTTATAATAAGTATCATTTATTTCTATAAAACCAAGGTTTTTTTTAAATTTCAATAATATGTATAGTTGTCAGTGTATAGATGTTTAGTAAGGGAAAGGGTATCTATTGTTCTCATTGTTTGTAACAATTGATATGTTTCCTTGCTTACTGAACACTTATACGTACGTATTTTTAATTCATTGGTTTAGTTATTTAACAGTAGTAATAAAATGGAGAATAATGAGGTTAATGAAAAATTAAGATTAACAAATAAAAAAATAAAAAAACTTTTATTTTCCAATCCATATTTTTAAGTCAAATAAAATATTACAATAAAAGTTAATAATACCAAAAATATAAATAAAAAAAAAATGTGAAAATGTATTAATAGTTATAAAAAACATTTAACAAAACGTTTGTCAATCAAAAAAATAATATACTTTTCTTGCACAAATAAAAATATTTCGTTAAAAATTATATAATTTAGAAAAAACTTATAAAAATGATGAAAAATTCGAATTGTCTTTTATTTTATTTTCATTTAGTTTTTATATTTTACAAAAAAAAAATTGTGTTATCAAATCTAAATAAAATATATTTCAAAAAATTAAAATTTATCAATTTTTAGATTAAAAATTAGTAAATAAATATTAAGAAATTTTTCGGTTTACTCCTTATACCTTATAAGAGCGGTAACATAATTTTTTTAAATAGCAACATGTATCAATCAGTTTATGTAATAAAAAATTATCTAATTAAGAAAATCACTGGCTGATAACAATTTTTTTACCAGTATTTTAAAAGTTATTAACATATTTATACAAATGTGTAATACTGTCGAGAATTGAACATAGTTGTACCTGCGCCTCTCTATTAGTTTACATTTTAAAATAGTTATGAATTTCAAAGTACTAGTCCAAAAGTTCTTATAGATCAGACATTATACTGATTAAATCTTATTCTATTTTGTAAGCAAGTTAAATAACTATTGAAAACATAGTAAACTTTATTATGAATGTACATATCTCATTATTCGTTATCTTATATATAATTTTATTTAAACTTTACATGTTGTTAAATAATATAAGCACAAAAGATAAACATGAATATACAGCATCATAATCATTTTGTTTTAATGATTATGTAATCATAATATTTTGCAAGATGTGGTTGCAGTAAAATTTTATATTTCAAAAAAGTTTTTAAGAAAAATTATACGTATTCAAAGTATACTTTATTATCTCTATAATCCTTTTAAATTAAATTTATTTGCTACTGGAAAGAATTTTTTTTAATTATTTACGTTTAATACTTTGTTTTTTTATTTCAATTTTCAGTATTATTATTAGAAAATAAAACTGATTGTTTAATTTATTAAATGAATATTTTCAAGGATAAATATAAACAAGATACTAAATTAAAGTGAAGTTTTTAACTTAATATAGATAATTAAAGTTTTCATCCGAATTCAATATCTTTTGGTTGATTTACCTAATATTTTTGGTATTTTTTTTTAATATTTCAATGTATACTATAAAATATTACAGACTTGCCTACATTTATATTCGTTTTAAGATTTATTGATTATTAAATTTGATAAGTTTGACTAATTAAAAATTTGTTGTTATTTCTTTTATGTTAGTTCCATGGTTTTGTACATTTATTTCTTAATTTAAATAAAATTTAATATTCTAATTGACGAAGAATAAATTATATAGGCCAAATTNCATTTAAATAAAATTTAATCTTCTTATTGACGAAGAATAAATTATATAGGCCAAATTCGTATGATTTTGATGACTCATAAAATTGTATAAGTTTTAACAACTTTATACTTGAATACACAAGAATATTGGTTAATATTTTTGCTAATAGTTTTGATATTATATTAAAGAGCAAACATATGTTTAAACTATTTATTAGTGTGTTGTGTAATATGCAGATTGCATTAGCTTCATTTAAAATCTTTACTATTATGATTAGATAATTATAATATTACCTATGGACTGAGTATACTTTTTATTTTATACATTCAATAAAATTCAATACATTTTTTTTGGATAGGCTCGATATAGTTCATCGATTTATTACAATTATGATTTTCACACAATATTTCACATTAATTTTCATCAATAAGATAGTTAATTAACTTAACTATTATAAGTTAATCATTTAAACATTTTCTAATAACAAGCTAAAGAATCTATTAAAAATATCAATTTTTCTACAAGAGAACTTTTTGTTTTTAGTAGTTTGAGCCATTGTATGTATCAGTCATATTTAAAACAAGCATTGGAGAGAATTCGTTGTTTAATTTATTTACATAAATAGAAAATTCCAATTTTCATAATTAGTTAAGATTGAAGGTTACACCTAACTTTCATAAAATAAATTTACATTAACTATATCATTTTTTTTGTGTATTCCAATATAGAAATGGAATTTTTAACTATTTATTGAAAAATTAACTATTACTAAGAGTAATAAATATTTTGGTGATTACTTCTGTTGAAAATTGTCTATAAGAGATCCTAATAATTATAAATAAATTTATCTATCAGCATTTGAATTCTTAAATTTGTAATTAAAAGCATGCATGTATGTTATGATATGTGCTTGAGAAAGAATCTAGCAGAATCCGGTATGGTCTAGTGGCTAGGATACCTGGCTTTCACCCAGGAGGCTCGGGTTCGATTCCCGGTACCGGAAAAATCGCTTTTTGCAACTTTAATTTATACAAAAAACTTAGTTTTCTTTAAAAACAAAATAAATTAGAGAAAACGAAATAAATATTAAGTTTATTTCATGATCCGGTATGGTCTAGTGGCTAGGATACCTGGCTTTCACCCAGGAGGCTCGGGTTCGATTCCCGGTACCGGAAAAATCATTTTTTGTAATTTTTATTTTTTCCAGAAAGTTAGTTTTCTTTAAAAAACAAAATAAATTAGAGAAAACGAAATAAATATGAAATTTATTTCATGATCCGGTATGGTCTAGTGGCTAGGATACCTGGCTCTCACCCAGGAGGCTCGGGTTCGATTCCCGG